CCCTTCCTTCCTACAGCAAAAATTTGGAAAATTTGGAAAATTTATCCTTTAACGTCATTGGATATCAGATTTATAAATCTGGTTTGCAAACCAAGACGGTTCCTCTTCACCATATAACTCTGATGGCGGTGAGTCGGATCTTCTCACAGAGAACGGACTCTGTGAGGGCTCCCTTTTACAGCATTGCCAGACCGTCTGGCCGGGCTCACCCAACCATGAGAGGAGCACCCACCCCGTACTAACACCGAGCCGAGTAGGATTAGCAAATAACTGCCCAGCGAGTGAGGAATCGAACGTGTGACTGCGTGGTGACAGTTCCACCCCCGATCCACCAAGCCAAGCAGCTACTGCTTGACTTGGTGGATCAGACATTTCAGTCCACAAAGTATTTGACGGAAGCGTAACATTTCTGAACGTTGAGGAGTTATCATTGTGGGTCCTGGGGCCTTGTGAATTTGATGAGGTGCCCACCCAAATTTATCCCGGCCCTGAGTGCAAGTATGAACTAACACCGGAACAGGAAGTCAGTGAATCCACGACAATGCTGAGGGCATTCCCAAAGTTGACCGTATTAACACTAGGCATTCACATTTGCCCTGTATTGGAAGCCATTTTAAGAACGTTTGAAGGTATTAGTATTAATTATCTCATATATTTATTTATACAAATAAAGGGTTTTGATTTAATTCGTCCCGATTTTCCCCGGCAATATAAAAATACGTGTACCTCCAAAGATGTGAAAACTTCGAAATCAATTTGGAAATACATTAGTCTTTCGGAAATTGAAACTAATCATTACATTAACTTTATTCTTTTGACTTTTTGCTAATTTTCGTAAATTTGTGTCAGGTACCCATAAATCCGTTGGGGGGAAATAAAATCAACACACTTTATTTAAACATACAAAATACATAATAAAGGTTGCTGATTTAATTCGTCTCGATAGATGTTTGGGAACCTGACACAAATTTACGAAAATTAGCAGCACAAAGTCAAAAGAAAATAGTTAAGGGCATGAGTAGCATAAATTTCCGAAGGACTAATTAGCATTCTATCTCTGATAAAGAAAATGACCTCGAAGCTATCACTCTTTCTGAGGCACGAGTTTGCAAATATTTACAAGAAAAATAGGGCCGAGTTAACTCAACACCCTTTATACTTTTTGCATAAAAAGAATTAATGCAAATTAAACATATTCCTAATTTATGTAAATACATAGGCGCATCCCAACTTGAATCCGTCTACCTGATCGTCCGATCAGAATGGGTGACCCCAAAAATCGTGGCGCAATATCCGCTACTGATGCAGCCCCATTGGATACAAATTCCTATTACAAAAATTGTCTTTGTAAATTTCGTGGGCATTGAATACACCGAATTTCGGAAAGACGTGTCCTTCCTCCAACTTTTACTAAACCGTTGCTTCCTTACCCTTGAAGAATTTGAAATAACTGAATTAACCGGTATTTAAATTTTACATATGAAAAGTTTTCATCGATTTTTAAGCCTAGTACTCAGGCCGGATTTTTCGAACGAAAAGGTTCAGAAATTTGAGCACTTAAGAGTAATAAATTTATTTGAAGTAGAAATCCTATTTTGTCAAATTAAATTCAAGTGCTTCCAGTGAAAAACATTTATTACAAACTAGCGTAGAAGCCCGTCTCCCGCCGGGCGATTAGTTTCACACCTTGAATACCAGTCCGCACCGGAAGTAATTAAATTAAAATTAAGTTTCTCCACTTCCACTTCCGTTTCGGAAAATTACTTTCACTTCCGTTGCAGACAAACATTTCCAGCTTATAATATAGATTGAAAAATTTGTCCTTTCGAAAAATCCGTCTTGAGTACTACGCTTTAACCATTAATGTCAGACTCAAAAATATAAAGTTTTTAACACAGCGCACATGGACAGTCCCAAGGTGATCATCTATTTCCCGAGGATGCCTCGGTTGAAAAAAATCAAGCTGGTCCAGAGGCCGTGGCCACCGCACGTTTGCTACCGATATTTTACTCCCCAAGTGCAGGACGATGACCCCGCAATACAATTTCCAGCATTAGAATTGTAAAATCACAAATCAAATTGACAAATTGGAAACCTCTTTCAAGCTATACTCGGATTTGCTAGGGAATTATATCAAAAAATCGAGCCAAAAATTAAGAATCACATGACACCTATATTTCCATTGAATAGGCTTTTTAAACAAAAATTTTGGCGGCGTAATTGTATGAATTGTATGAAATTGTATGAATTTGTGAATGAATTTTCTCTCGCTTTTCCCCCCACATAGCGAATACCAGGGCTGGCGGATGAAATTTGAACCGCAATATTTTTCCTCAAAGGGATCGCCCGAGAGGTCGACGCCGCCGACCATACGTCGCCGACGCCGGTACTATTTTACGCGCCGCCGCCGCCGGTACTATTTTACGCGCCGCCGCCGCCGAAAAATTTGATTTCCTATACCTTCAACATTGCGGCGCCGCGCCGCGCCGCCGACGCCGCGCCGCGCCGCCGACGCCGCCGAAAAATCACTAAAAACTGGCGCCGCCGCCGAAAATTTGTCGGCGTCGACCTCTGGATCGTCCATAAATTACGTAACGCAAGAGGGGAGAAGGGCCTAAGGCTCCAATGATATCGTGCCTACGTTACGCATGTTAAAGGGGGGATCTATAAAATCTCTATTTTTCCCTTACCTAATTACATAATGACCAGCTCCCCATGGGTTATTCAACAGAAAGATAAATTTTCGGCTCGAGTTTTTGATATAACTCGTCCGAAAATCCTGTTTTAGCTTGAAGAAAAGTTCCATTATGAGTTTCATTTACACTTTATAAAAGTTTGAATCATTTCTTTTGCAGACTTCTTTTTGGTGGAGTTCAATGTTATCAGTCACGTAAAAGGTGTTACGATCTGGTCGCCACCCTTTTATGATTGAAGCCCTATTCCCGTCAGAGACTAAACCTTGCGAGTCGTTAAAAGTCTTGGCTCCTTTTGTCGGCTGATACGATGCGATGTGGCAGGGCGACAGGCACGTAATGGAGCTACTACCCCCTCCCGTGGGGCATCTTGAAGATGAGAAGAATCATTTGACTCAGGCATCACCCAGCACTAGGGCACGTTTTACGGGAAAAATATTATCCAGGTTTCCCAATTTGATGACGCAATGTGAAGATCATATCTCTTCGTTTGATAGATTTCGGCAAAATATGGATTTGCAAGATGTCTATGATTCTGACGCATAAATTATGATATAAAATGGAACAAGGTTGTTAAAAATTTTATGAATTTTGGGTTTGCTGATAGTTTTGAGTTTATTCAGAAATTTGGGCCACAAGTCAGCATTTAAATTTAAATTCAAATTTCAAAAATTATATCTTTGTATATATTTATTGAAGTGTACATAATTACGACTAATTAAAAGATATCGATTTGATTAACTTGAATTTTTGATAGATTTTTTTTTAATTTGTAAAAAATATGAAAATTAGTTTTCGGAAACATGTTCGTAATATTTTAAGCTATTGTACTTGGACGAATTTAAATTTGACGTATTTGCCGCGCACCAATAATGGGGGTGGATTGGGGAGCAAAAACGGCAAACTTAAATTCCTCCAAGTACAATAATTGACAGTTTGCGTATTCCGAAATTATGTCACACTTCCATGTCGACAAAAATAATTGGACGGATCAAGGATTGAGAAACGTTTTTAAAATTGATTTCGAATTTTTCGAAATTTTTCGACCTTAGAATTTCAAAAAAGTAAAATAAAAAAATTGTAGAACTTGAAAGTTACTGAAATCCTTAGAATCAAAACTTTTAAAAAATCCCTTCTAAGTACCTGTTTTTATAATCCTAAATAAGTTCGAAAAATTTCGAAAAATTCGAACTCAATTTTGAAAACGTGTCTCAATCCTTGATCCGCCCAATTATTTTAAAGGACATGGAAGTGTGATATAATTTCGGAAATCGCAAACTGTCGGTATTACGGAGTTTCCGGAAGAATTTCGAATATTTCCCGTCCAGAATTTCTAACTGGAATTTGTTTTTAAAGAAATAAATAAGATTGCTGGCGGTATTTTTTAAAAATAAGGCATAATCACAAATTTTGGACGGTCGGACTGTCGGTCGGTCGGTTAAACTGGAGACATTTCAAATTCATCAAAAAACGTATCTTTAAAATTTAATTCGCAATGGCATTATGCGACGAATAGGTTGGCAAAATGCGGTGCAGATTTATAGCAGGATGTAAACACGAGCAAAAGTACAACTTCAACACAGAAAGGATTGACACATGCCCTCGTGATGATTTGATGCGACAAGGTAGCAGCCACCTGAATTGTTCGGGAGAACGTTTTTCGCTTAAATTATGCGATGAGTAAGCATTTATTTAACTGGATTATGATACATGAGAAGACATTGCATGCAGTATGTCATCGATTTGTCACAGGTGTCATTAATTCCGGTCTACATATGTATAGTGTATATATATATATATGTATGATATTTGGTACAAGTTATGCTCGTGTGCTGTCAAAAATTGAAAAAGATTTTAGCGAAGAAGTGTTTTGGGGGCGGTGCAAAAAGTATGTCATCGATTTGAGGAGAGGGAGAGGTATCCTATCCTGCCCATGTTAATTATAAGGTGACTTTAGGGGGTAATAATTAAACACGCGCTTTATGTACCGTACCCTAATAAAATATATGTACACTTATGTAAGCGATGCGTATGTATCTATTTGAATTGCGATGTTCTCTACCTAGGGCCGTGCACAAAGAATGACGTCGATGTTGGAAGAGTTAACTCGGCATGCATATGTATCATTCTTGTGTTAATTACAATGTTGTTGGAACAAATAATAAGGCGAAGTGGGGTTTCAAAATCAGTCAAGTTGCTTATGCAGGCCCCGTGACAGATTTCCTGCCTTATCAGGTTTGATAAGCTACATACTTACGTTTAGTAAGCCCCGCTTCAAGTTGTTATCGCACAAATGTGCATGTCTTCTCGCTCGTTCTACATACGTATCTACTTAATACAGAGGTTAATAAATCCTATTTGGAGAGGTTTTAAATTTGGCTATAAAACTTCAGTCGATTCGATGAATTTGTTTGGATTGTTCAATGGTTAGCCAGCCTACATATATCGCCGATTTCAAGAACTCGTTATTTTTCCTATATTTTCGAGGTCAAACTTCTTCAACTACTAGCGAAGAATTTTCTAAAACACCAAAAAAAGTTGCAGTTCGACAGAGGAAAATCTATTGTTTTAGTAGTCCAAACCCTTTAAAAATCGAAAGGAGTAGCATCAGGACTTGTCGCAGGTGTCTGGGAATTAGGAATGATTGAGATCCCTAGCATTTCTTTTAACTCGGCTGCATGCTGGATCGTTTTCCGAGAGATTTTAGATAGAAAGTTATTTTATATGTGAACTTTGATCCTATTTGAGACTTTTCTCAAAGCTTAATCTTAATAACCCGTCCCACATTTAGTTGACATATTTTAACAACTTTTCCAATTTGATTTTGGGACGGAGGAACTTCTCGGGTTTACAGGGCGTCGATTTTTCGAAAAATGGTACGCGAAACTTTTTTGGGGGCTACAACTTTATTGGGGATTGCAGCCCCGCTAATTCTAGTTCCAACGGCATTAGTTGCACTAGATATTTACTGCTGAATGCGCAATACTATATCCGGATTATATGTAACAACTAGTCCATGCTTTTCGTTTGTGACAATCTTCGTTCGGAAAAATACTTTATGAGACGGTCGATTTCGTATGCCAGTTTCCTGTGCATTTTCTCACCCATATTTGTCAACCAAGTGTTTTATGTACACCAAATGACATTTCGGAAATAAAATTACATTATTATAAAGATCCCCGCGAACGCTTAATTTGGTCAGTTTTTAGACCTTTCCAAACAGGATCTGTAACCCTGTAATACTCGCACTTGGTGGAGACATACATTTCGCAACTAAAGACAAGTTCGCAGGACAGATTTTTCACGAGAAACCCTAACTTCCTTGGTTTACGCAAAATTACTCTTTTCCTAGATTATTCTAATTCCACTGCAAAGTGTACAAAATTCAAGTGTTTCTCTAAATCAATTGCACAATTTTGCTTAAATTTCTGTTTCCTATTTGTTTTTACTAACTTTCACGTGAAAAATCCATCCTGAGTATTAGGGTTAAGCTGCTTATCCAATTATTTAGGGGAGGAACCTTCTCCAATTAATTCGCGAGCTTGCCGCATTGTCATTTCTAACGGCCACGAGGCTACGTATGCCCGTTCATTCAATTCCGGTTGAAGTTGAAATTACTTAACACCAACCTCCCGCCCCGTGATATCACTGCAAGTTTTTTATACACATTTTTATTGTTGACTTATTAGTTCGTGCGACACTAATTTCTCGTCAGTCCTAAAACCACGCTTGGCGGATTAACCCCTACACATAAACCTTGTCGGCGAGGGAGTAGGTAAATACATATGTAAAATAAATTAAATAAGAAAACATTTGGGAACATATGTATGTCTTAACGGTATGCCAATAATTCTCGGAAACTTGATCAATAACTAAGACTCGTCACAATTTAATTGCTCATATCAACTTTTGCTACCTATGTCAGGGTATGCTACCCCGGGTTTTTGGGTTTTTGGGGTATTGCGGGTTTTGGTGGGTTTTGGGGTAGCAAATTTGAGCAATACCCACGGGTAGTCCGGGTAGTCGGGGTTTTCAAATTTTACAAAATATGATAACAGGGTATTACTAGCAATTCAACAAATTAATTACCTTTTTAATATAATTTTAATATAATTAATATAATTTTAATTTTTTAATATAATTAATAAGCAGTTTTGTTGCGAAATTACTGAAAAACTGATTTTTTATTAATTTCTGAACATGAGACACTGACTCAGTTTGCCCAAAAAAACCCGACTACCCGCAAAACCCTGGTAAAACCCCGGGGTATGGGTTTTCAATAGCAAAACCCCGGGGTTTTCCTTACCCTGACCTATGTGCATTAAAGACATTTTGTAAATAATGATTTTAACATTTATTTTTTGTATGTCTAGAAAAGAGCAGAAATTTTTACGTGATCGTCGCGCAGCGACGGTGTAGAAGGATATAAGAACCTGTTCGGTAAGTTCATAATTTAAAAAATTGAGTAAAATTTATTCACTGTACATATATAGACAATACGATGAGAAAATTTGCCACCAGGTGCGCATTGAATAGTGCCGCGTTGCAATGCATTCAAACTATTTAAATGAAACTCAAATTTACCAAAACTTTATTTTTACCAGTCTGGTAGTAAAGTTGAAGATGTGCATGTATTTATTTACATAAATACAAATTTTGTTCAGTTTTATTTACCTGAGAAATCGTTTCCATGTCATTATTGGCTATATATACATAGATTGTACAATTGGTTTTGCTTCGCCAATACTCATAACTATGTTATGCATAAACGTCATCAAATTAATCTGCTTAACTGCATTATCCCTTAAATAAATAATTAGTTTCTCCAAACTTTCTTTACATAATTAATGTATCAACTTCCACGCCTCATACTTAATATTCTTCGCATCATTATTATCTATTAGATTTCGTGTTATCCATAGTGTGACTCATGATAAGTTTCTCAAATCCTCGAAATGTAAATAAGTATGTTGGGCGTGGCAGTGATTACATAATGGTGATAGGATGTGGCCGTTATAAAAAAATATCGGACGTTTTGAATACGGTTAAGTTGCCGTGTAATGACAAAATATATGTAAGCATAGTGAATGGATGCGGGTGGTCTTATCAATGGAATGATGAGGACGTCGTGACGATAACCATTGCTCTCGTTTTGCTTCGTTGGCTAAAAAAAGCGGACTCCTTTTTCATTATCTAAAAGCTTTACTTAACCTGTATTTGCTTTGTGAAAATTACTTAGCAATGCATACATACATAGGTATGTAGATATCAGCTCCATGGCTTATCCATGGCTTATCTCTGCTGGTTAGGTGTGTCTAACGTAAAATAACCAAAAAATTTAAAGGTTGTCAAGTATTACTATCAGACTCCCCAACATGACTGACACTCAATCTCGAAGAACGGGCCCCCACCTACTCCTGACAGAAGTGCGATAACCACATCTAACGGTGGCCCCCCCATTTGTTCAAGAATGCGGGGGGATAAGCACAATTGATAAATTGCTTTACCCCTCCCGATGAGATTGGTAACCAGCAAATTGCGTACAACTGACTTATTGACCAGATCTACAAAGCAGTTCATATGCAAATCACTTTCTCCATTTTCACTTCCGTTGCACACATACATTTTCAGTGTATAATATAAATTTAAGATTTCCTACTTAATCAGAAAGAACTCCGGAATTAATAAAATTTCAGGAAATAAAATCAATAAAATTTTTACTAATAGCAATTTCTGTTATAATTCCTTTGCAGGATTGAAAACTTTGACAAAGATTGAGAAAAGATTGACAAATCGTTGCTATGGACAACCCTCAGATGTTGCTCACCATCAAGAAAGTCGGGAATGACGCCTTTAAAGATAAAGATTACCACAAGGCTATCGCCATCTATACCAAAGGATTGTCAATCGAACCAACAAACACCGACCTCTTATCAAACCGTGCCGCAGCTTATCTCAACTTCGGACTTTACTCGAAAGCCTTGCTTGACACTGAAACTGTCCTCTCGTCCAATCCCCGTCACAAAAAATGTCTCTACCGCAAAGTTAAAGCATTGTGGGGACTCTGCCGATACGTGGAAGCACAAAACTTTATCAAACAATTCAATATTAAGAATTTGTCCGACAAAGCAGACACGCTCGTTACCCAGAGTCAAGGAAACTTTAAAATTTCTGAAATCAAAAAACTTCCAAACCAAGCGCGCCTCGACCTTGCAAACTATCGCGGTCCTATCGAAATTTCTCCCGTGGAGGGAAAAGGACGTGGCATTCTGGCCACGGATTGCATTCCCGTCGGAACTTTGATACTTGTGGAGAAAGCGTTTTGCATCGTATTTGATGAGGACGTCGACCTCTGTAAGAAACATCATTTAACTGGAAAGCATCAAGATGACTGGTCGGACGAGGATACTTTGGTGATACGTACTGCTGCAATGCTGAAAATTGACGAATCACTTAAAGAACAAATTTTCGACTTATATTCTGGCCCTGATTCGCTAGAGAATATGACTGATAATGATTTGATGAAGACGAAAAGTATTGTAGGACTCAATTTTTTCAGTTGCAGTGCTGATGAATCCATTGTTACTGCTGGAAAACCAAATAATGCTGGATTATGGGTTTTACCCTCATACCTTAACCATAGCTGTCCAATGATATCGTGCCTATGTTACATGTTAAAGGGGGAGTGGGCGGAGGGGCCTTGAAAATCGCGATTTTTGCTCTACGTAATTTATGAGCGGCCCCTAATGAGTTATTCAACGCAAAGATAAGTGTCACGTGATTCCTAATTTTTTACTCGATTTTTTAATAAAATCGATATACATAAAATCCCGCTGTAGCTTGAAGCAAGGTTACATTATGAGTTTTATTAAACTTGAAGAAATTTGGTTTTTGCAGACTTCTCTTCGATGGAGTAAAATGTTATCAATCAAGTGAATGATGTTACGATCTTGCCGCCACCCTTTTATGATTGAAGCCCTATTCCCGTCAGAGACCAAGCCTTGCGAGTCGTTAAAAGTCTTGGCACCTTTTGTCGGCTGATACGATGCGATGTGGCAGGGCGACAGGCACGTAATGGAGCTACTACCTCCTCCCATGGGGCATTTGGAAGATGAGAAGAATCATTTGACTCAGGCATCACCCAGCACTATTGCACGTTTTAAGGGAAAACTATTGTCCAGGTTTCCAAATTTGATGACGCAATGTGAAGATCATATCTCTTCGTTTGATAGATTTCGGCAAAATATGGATTTGCAAGATGTCTATGATTCTGACTCATAATTTACGATATAAAATTGAAAATGTTCTTAACAATTTTATGAATTTTGGGTTTGCTGATAATTTTTAATTTATTCAAAAATTTGGGTAAGAAGACGGCATTTTCAGAACTATATTTAAATTCAAATTCAGATTTGTAAAATCATATATATTTATTGAAGTGTACATAATTACGATTAATTAAAAGATATCGCTGTGATTAATTGGAATTTTTGATAGAATTTTTTTAATTTGTAGAGAATACATATGCCAATTATTTATATAGTTGTCGGAAACATGTTCGTAATATTTTAAGCTATTGTACTTGGACGAATTTAAATTTGACGTTTTTGCCGCGCAATCCAGCACCAATGATGGGGGTGGATTGGGGAGCAAAAACGGCAAACTTAAATTCCTCCAAGTACAATAATTGACAGTTTGCGTTTTCCGAAATTATATCACACTTCCATGTCGACAAAAATAATTGGACGGATCAAGGATTGAGACACGTTTTTAAAATTGATTTCGAATTTTTCGAAATTTTTCGAACTTAGAATTTCAAAAAAGTAAAATTAAAGAAATTATAGAATTTGAAAGTTACTGAAATCTTCAAAATCAAAACTTTTAAAAAATCCCTCCTAAGTACCTTTTTTATAATTCTAAGTTCAAAAAATTTCGAAAAATTCGAAATCAATTTTTAAAACGTGTCTTAATTCTGGATCCGTCCAATTATTTTAATCGACATGGAAGTGTGATATAATTTCGGAAATCACAAACTGTCGGTATTACGGTGTTTCCGGAAGAATTTCTAATATTTCCCGCCGAGAATTTCTAATTATAATTTGTGCTTATTTTTTAAAAATAAATACGATTCCCGGCGGTATTTTTAAAAATAAAGCATAATCACAAATTTTGGACGATCGGCAGCATACGAAGCGGAATTCGATCGAGTCCATTTTTAGGAGGAGAACGTGCGACGTTTGCCACGCCAGATTTTGATGCCCTTCGGATGCGTTGTAAGACTTAAGCAGGACAGGAAAAGGGAAGGAGGGTTCAACTTCATGGGTCCATTTGGGCCCGCCAAACCCGCCGAAATGGACGCCAAACGCTAAACTGGTGACATTTTAAGTTCAACAAAAATTTAATCTTTGCTCGGATTCCTTTCTTCAAGAAATTTCCTCTCCTCTATCCAATGCTAAACTCTACTTTTTCGCAGTTTTCAATAGCAGACAAAAGTTTAAAAACTCTAAAAATCTACAGTTTTGTATTGCATCGAGCAGAGTAACTCTTAAAAAATATGGTTGAAATCCGAGCAAAATTGAATTCAGGAATGCCTCCTGTTTAGCGTTTAGTCCCCCATTTAAATGGGTGTGGCGGGCCCAAATTTTCCCATGAAGTCGAACCCTCCTTCCCTTTTGCTGTCCTGCTTAAGTCCGACAACGCATCCGAAGGGCATCAAAATTTGGCGTGGCAAACGTCGCACGTTCTCCTCCGTAGATCGAATTCCAATCTGTATACGGCCGACCTTCAAAAATTAATGATTACACAAGAAACTAAAGATATTTTTCATAATAAGTTTCCTAAAATTAAATTAATATTAAATTTTTTAGTCGATATTTATCACATCATTTCAAAAATTGTCGCCTCGAGTTGATCCACGCCAAATGTTCGTCCCCAATTATCATCTGATTTTGCCAGTTTGCCAAAATTTGCTGCATACTTTCCAATTTTTCCTTGTAATCTATAATTTCCAAATTTTTGTCTTCAATGATTTTTTCCAATTGAGAAATTTTTTCGTTTTTTGCAACGTTCTCAGAAATAAGTTTTTCACGGCGTTGCTTTTCCGCGACGCGATTCTTTTTCGCCGTGATCGCATCTCGGATGTCTTTTGTGGTGGGTTCCAATTCCCATTTCTTTACTCGGCGAGTAGTTTTTGTGGCGGGTTTTTTCGGGTTTGGTGGTCGGCCCCGCCCTCTTTTTTGAGGTGGTGGCGATAAGGTGTCGGCCAACTGTTGGGTTGCTGGCTCGTTATCGATTGGTGATGACGTAATAGAAGATAAGACCTCATAGAGCGAGTTATCTGGTTCTGATGATGATGACTCAGTTTGTGACGTTGGCTTATCAAGTTGTAACAATTCTGCATCGTTTATCAAACCTGAAAATGAAATGGTGACGTCCGGGTCGTCCGTATCCATGGCTATCAAATTTTCGTCTAACCAAGCCAAAAAGGTCAAGGTTGACTCGTCGTCAACGCCATTATCTTGATCCGGCGTCAGCTCGACAGCACCAGCAGCGACCGGAGACGTGAAGTCAATCTCGTCGTTCTCGAACGAGGAGAACGTACGAGAATTGAAATCACCACCACCGTTTTCAAACTGATGAGAGGGATTCATTAGTTCTGCAATTAAGAAAGTGAGAGATTGTTAGATTTGAGGCGTTGGCGGAAATCGAATTGTGTGAATTTTGTGGCAAAATTTGGTGGCAAAAAATACATAATTTTTATAACCAGGTTATAAATACAGATGTACATACTTATTTACTCTCAGGAATTTGGGATTATGTTCATAAATCATTACTGGCCGGAGTACGTAAAAAATATACAAGCATTACCATTCAGTAGTGTGATCGTACTCAAAAATGTACCACTCACAAACAAACTACTATGTACTACCAATCCGGTATTAAGTTATTACCAGCTCGATACCAGTACGGAGTTTGGTTGTATATTACTAGACCAGATTTTTAGCAGTGTACAAATGAAAAACAAGAATTGACTAGAAATAATTTATTACCGAAGCTATGTACCAAGCAAGAAATTCATTAAACTTATTTAACCAAATTATTATTAAATTTTGATAAACTAATGGCAGAGCAGAGCGTAAAAATTTTCGCAAATTTGGTGACACTTTATTACCACGGTTAAAATAATCGCGACATAATTTACTTACCAAATTGGTGTCGTATCTAGTTTACACGGTCGCTGTGCTATGACGTTTTTAAACGTTGTGATGTTATCTGTAAAACGATTTGTTAAAATTAATTTTTGCAATTTTTTTTACCTTAATTTGCATACATATTTGACATTAAAATATTTTTTTGCATAATCGCTAATTAACTTTCAATTATTTGCATATCTACCTTTTTCCAGAGGTTTCGTTTGTTTAATTCCTCTCCAGACTATTCCCCATCTCCACAAAGGAGCAAAATTAAGTTGTTATTCCACGAAGCGTAGATTTAGGACTGACGAGAAATTGGCATGATTCCATATTTAAAGCGAAACAGCAACGTACAAATTTAATTCGGAGTGACATCATGCATTGAGTAAGTGGCAAAATTCAGTGCAACTTTATGGCAGGATATACAAGCAAGCAAATAGTATAACTACAACATAGAAAGGACTGATACATACGTGCCCTCGTGATGATCTGATAACGCAAGATACCAGCCTCCCGAATTATTTGGAGAACGTTTTTTCGCGAAAATTATTTCATGAGTATTTACATTCATAAGCACAAGTAAATATGTAAATTACTTTGTTGCGATGCGTTGCATAAAGTATGTCATAGATTATTTAAGGGTGTTCGTATGTTAAAAGCTTACGTACATACATAAAGTAGAGATGCACCGCTGATCAGCACCTAAAAGAAATGCATTTTTAGTTGTTTTTGCACATGTTTGCTGCAAAATTTTGAGCGGGAAAGCTATGAATTTTTTAAGCATAAATGATCTACACCCTTATAAAGGGGGATTTAGGGTACCATACGGTAAGTAGGGGGTGCTTTGTAGCGGTGCACCTCTTACATAAATATCGTTTTATACAAATATAGCATATGCACAAATCGCAATGTCTCGTTGAGATTAACTGGATGACATTCTTTACGCATGGTGTGTAATGCACATTTGATACATACGTACATATGTAAATATGTACGTAGTTGTTGGGAATAGTAATACATAATTGAGTGACCCTAATATTTTCCGTCCTGGTGACAATCGTAATTGAGAATAGAAAGTTTATCATACATACATTTAAAAAATAATAAAGTTGACAAAATAATTCTTCCCAGTTTGGGGTCGGTCCACGTCAATACCCACGATCGGGTGAGAGTCATGAGAGCGGAGATGTTGTCTCTCCACTCCGAGCGACACTACTGATGGTGGTGCTCACGAGCAGTGGCCGTAGCACGTACTAACTTTTTAAATGTCGACGCGGTCAGGCCTACATTTTTTTAGTCACATTTTTTTAACTCAGCGTTAAAAATAATCTTGACTGGTATGGCATTTTAATTTTGTCACTGAAAGTTTTGTTTACGCCTCTTGTTTTCTAATAATTTTTGGGAATATTCCCATACATAAGGTTGCATGTGTTAATGTGTGTCAGAAAAATCGATATAATTTTTTGCATCCTGTCGTGTGCTACCTAATTTTTTTATGGTGGATTAGAAATTTAAAATTACGTTCTAACTTATGAAATTTGGGTTGCACACGACAGGGTGCAAAAAGTTATAGCGTTTTGAAGTTACCATTACAAGATGGCTAGAATTCAAATTTTTCAAATTTCTTTAATTTTAAAATTTAGTTTATAGTGCCTACAACAACTTTTAGGTTTAGGTAAACCTTCCCAAAATTACGTGACACTCAGTGCATCAAATGGAAAATTTTCTTAAATTTTTTACAAATTTAAATTCTCGGCCAATTTCTAACATAGAATTTTTATTTTTTCACTAGTAACTTTATTTAAGCAGTACGTATTTATGGTAAAATTAGCTTTAAAATCTGAGACGTGGCCCGCAACACATGATTGACATTGACGTGGACTGACCCTTTGTTTAAAAGTTGTTTTTTAAAAATATAAAAATTAGTGATGGTAGAGGAGGATGTTTCAGTAAAATGCGATGCAAACCAAAAATTTGTCAATGTCAACACATCGAGATTAACTTGTATGCTATATATCACTTACATTTATTCGTGCATCGGCTCATAGTCTCATGACCGGTGAACCACACCTTATGAACTTCGACCAGTAATTATTACGTGTGAAAATTTTGAAACATAAATCCCATCTACTTCATGAAATTTTTCATGAAAACTCTCCGAAGCGAGACTGGCTTTTGTGTATTGGCATGTTTGCAAGTCAATTAAATTTGTGCCTAACGTATTTGCGAACACGATTGGGGAATGATTTCTTGTTTTTTATGAAATGGTTTAGCGGCCTGGATTTTATTGCCTCCCTTGAACTTTAATATTTTTTTAATGTTCCCGAAAACATTCGAAAATTCCCCGCCGATAAGCCGCAGACACATGTGGGTTGTAAGCATTACGATGGAATTTTTAGCGAAGAAAAGATTTAGAAATCCTTATAAAAATGGGGCCTGTTTGAGTGCAAAATTTATCTCAACGTAATGTTCACCTTGTAGAAAGATGTTACATAACATGTTATCATATTATTTGGGGAGCGTTGCCTCCCAGGTATCTGTAAATTACGTGGTACCTAGTTAGGCTTTAATGTACAGGAAGGCTGTGCACAAAGGGTTGTGGCCTACATAGTCGTAGATAGTCAAATTAGTGTATAATTCTTGTGTTAATTACAATATGGGTAAAACGCCAAAGTAGCATTCTAAAATTAATCACGTAGTTAATGCAGGGACCTTCATGGTGGTTTTTCCCATCTCCAAGTTTGATAAGCTACGTTTTATAATATGGTATTGAACTACGTTTTAATTTGATAAGGCAGAAATCTGCGTTCTTAATCATTTGGATATTCATGTGGTAATAAAATGAGAGGGGCGACGTCGCTGCTTCTTAACGATTTTTGTGGAAACGTCCACTATTTTCCTTAACATTGAAATCATAGACAAGGCGTTGGTTGAAGGTCTAAAAATCTGCGCTTTTTTGAAAACGAAATATAGGGTGTCCAGGCTTAAGTTGGAATGAGAATAATGACCTGTGGAATTCGTCCTGTTTAGAAAATTTTTATAAAACCTTTGGTACAGTGTAGATGGCAATCATACCAAACAGGTTTGGTCGCGGAAGATTTGCCGCAGCCCTATCTTGGCCACCAGTCCAACTTTCCGCACCAACCCTCAAATTTTAGATTTTCCACCAGTTTGCGAGATGTCTTGGCTGATTTTTTGCGATTAACGTTCGAATCCAGCCAGCTTTTTCGCTTTGGATCGAAGGTTAGAGTACCCTCTTTAGCACAAGGCCAAAAACTTTTCGATTTCTCGCAAATCGGGACATTTGGAGGGTTTTCTTTTTTAAGCCCACCTGGCTCAATGTAAGCCTTGGTTGGAATTTTGCAGCGAATATAGATTTCAGGTACAACTTCTGTTGATAATCTACACTCACCAGGTTGCCTGAGTGAAAAAATGTGTTTTTCGAAGTCATTGTGGGATCAACTTTGTCGCAGTTCTTGTCATAAATGATGATAATTTTTAATGACATTTGGTGACACAATTTTTTGTCATATTTTTGGACCGTGATTTTTTGGGCTTTAACGTACTTTGGGAAACTTTGTTTTATTTTTTCTGTGACCCCCAGTTTATGTACTTTAATATTGCGAAACAAACTTTTTGAAATTTTCAGTATTCGTGCAGAGCCACGACTTGACGAGGAAGAGTTAGTGCAGAAGATAAGGATTGATTCATAAGTTGTGGCAATGTTTTTTGGTGTACTCTAGCTTTAACAGAGACTCAAATTATTATGAATGAATTGTTGCATATGATAGTCCAACCGATGTAGTGTTAGGGTTTTAGTTTAAAAAGGTTGGCAATTAAACTAGAACATCGTTAGACAAAAAGAAAAACAAGTCCAAGCAAATTTCTTGGTGCACTTTTACAAAAATGCTGCCAAATTGGACGAGAAAAAGTTGCACGACCACCTCAAAAATGAAAATATTCTAAATCGCTCAAATTGCCGTTACATTTCAATGTATGATGCAACAAAATCAGGCGAGTTCAAAAAAATTATTCATCACCTGGTGTGGCAGGCCACATCCAAAGTCATCAAAGCAGTGCCAATAGTTTTCAGGGAACGCTCCTTACGTTAGAGAACCTAGCAGCCAAACGGGTAAAGATATCTGAACAAACTTTTCGCCGATTTAAAGCAGAATGATAAGGGATTACAACATTTAAAAACTAATGCCTCAAGATACATTAAAGAGGAAAAATTAAGAACCAAAATGGGATGCAACTAAATTTGCAAAAAAGTTTAATCCAAAATACTTCCTAGCTGTGACGAAGCGTACATTGAAATAACGCCACTGGAAGATTGCAGATAGAATTTTTTTCTGGCTACAAGTCATTGGGATTTCAAACATGAATGTAAGGTATTTCTCAAAGCAAAATTCACAAAAAATTACCGATTTAGTTAGCATTGGACGAGAATGGAGCAATTTCGGAGCCCTTAATTACGGATAACACCACTCCCTCATCTCTTTACTTTTTGGAATGGGACAAACGCCGATTAATCCCTGTAATAAATGGCCATCGGGAAAATACAGTTTTATTTTTGCCGAATATAGCAACTTGCTACTATAGTCGAATTGTTACCGACTACCTCAAGGAGGAAAAAATCAATTTTGTGGCTAAATTGGAAAACTCTTCCAAAGTCCCCAAGGTAAGAGATCTTGAATAGTTTTGGGCCTAATGCATAAGAGTATATTCAAGACGACCCAATGGATCGAAAACCCTGCTTTAATTCGACGCGTCATGCGTCAAATCTTGAAAGGTATGGCGAGAAAGTCAGGAAAAATAGTGATAGAGTATGCCTGGGAAAACCTGCATGAAATTGGTTTCAAAGTATGAACCGGTGTCTAATTGATTTTGTGTGATGTTGACAATCGAATTTGTGACAATTATTAGCAAATTTGGTAAAACTACAACTTCCCGTTTTGTAATAAACCCATTTCTAAAACATTGCCATAACTTATGAATCAATCCTTATTTTAAATGACTTTCACTTTTTAATGGGTGACTACGACGAGAGGTGGCCCGGAATGTTTTTGAAATTGCACTTACTGGCATCCTCATACTTCGAAATATAAAGGTAGATTCCCGTTTTGGGACATTCTTCTGTTTTGAAGTTTTGCCACGTCTTGTTCGAGTCACGTCAAGCGAAGTTTTTCAGGGTTTGAAAAAACGCGATTCGCGAGGCTTGTACTTTTACCCAGATTTCTAACGAATTTCACCATTTTTACAAAAAAAGCAAAATACCTGCTGGTTGCCCTTGAAATTACGCCTCAAAAAAATAATATAGCTGAACCAAAATCTTGACGAATTGCGCAGGATGATTTAAAGTTAACTTTTCCAACTTAACCCTGGACATGCCTTATATTGACGTTCTCCATGACAATGGAAAATCGGAAAAACTAGGTTTTCAACAGTATTTGCAAACTGGCAGGCTTTTTGCAATTTTCCATGCCTTTTTGCCCACTTGCCTTTCTGCATTCGTTTTTGATGCATTTTTACCTTTTTTGATGCCTTTTCCCTCGATTGCATGATTCGCAAGATTTTATTTTACTCCAATAAGACCAAATTTATCTCCGAAAGGCATTCTTTTTGGTTGTATTTACTATAATACATACTCCCCCAGCGTCCAGATTATCTTCCGCAGCCACTATATGGACTTAATGCAAATTGTGTAATGCAATATGCAATATGTATAATGCATTTTATCCATCGGAATCCTTATCAATTTATCAGTTATCTCATTAAGAACCTACACATGTATTTTTAGCATTGACTTCACACTAGGGTAAAATGAAGCCAATTAGTCTCCAGTTCAAACCCCAAACGTATTTGAGTATCTGGTCAATAATCCTCGTCAGAAGGCGATTAGATCTACGAGAGGAAATAATCTATCAAAATAGCCCTCTGGGAAACGGTATGCAAATAATTAAACCTTACTTATATGGTAAACGGGCACACAAAAATTAATTAATTACTTATAAATGTCAACTAAACAATGAGACCTGTCTAAATTTTTACTCCAAGTTATCTGTATTCATTTTTTACATAGAAATCAACACACAGGTCTACGTCTACAGAGTAACGAGCATTTCGTAATACTGGATCCTTCAACAGTAATAAATCCTTATGATAAATTTCGCCTGAATAGGTGACAATTTTCAAGTTTGTTACCACAATTCAGTCCACAGTGGCTGCGGAAACGTGGGGACTGAGGGCCAATGTCCTCACCACAACCCAACCCTCTCGTGTCCATCATCTCCCCATTTTATATTTATAAACCTAACCCCCTCCCATGCTAACATCTCCAAATGTCCCCACACCTTCCCCGGGCCACTGTTAAGTCTATAATAATTACACTTGTATTAACCTTCCATATTTTTTAGAACAAATGGACCCATTTGAAAACGTTAATCACTCCAATCTCTTTCCATTCTCCACCTCGGAGAACGACGCTGAGATCGAGTTAAATCCAACAGTCCATGTTCCTGAATTTTACGACGTACTGCTCGCAACGGTTCGCCGTTCGGACCATATCCAACCGGAACCGCCCCGTTTCGGTCCGGTTCACTTGGAGCGAACTGGACCATACGACCTGGCAGGGCCGTCATCGGAGTCGACTTTGACCGCATACTCATCAAATTTTCTTACCTTACAAGAAGATCTTGCCCTTCCAGGACAAGACCACATCGACCATATGGAATTATCAGGTGTGCACTTATCCACTGTCACGTCCTCATTGCATGACTACGAGTCACCTATACCACCGCCACCGTCGTCTACTCCGGTAACTGATATGCTCTTATCATACGTAACTGATAATAACTCCGATCCAGTCCAGATTTTTGAAACGTTTTTAACTTGCCCAACTGAGCATGACTCACAACCAGCGCAACGCGTTGATACGCTCTTATCTTCTACACCACCACCACCACCTAAGAGGCCTCGGGGACGACCACCTAATCCGAATAAACGCGACCCAACTAAAATCATTCGTAAAATAAGAGCACATCAAATGAAACCCACTACGAAACGGATCCGTCAAGCGAAGGCAGCCTATGAGAGACGCCTAAGGAAGAAGGAATTCGACAAGAAGCTGCTCGCCGAATTGGCCGCTAAAAACGGGGAAATTGCCAACCTTAAAAAAGCCGCCATTGAACAGAAAGATTTGAAGGAACGCAACAAACAACTGCGAGCCGACCTGGCGGCCAAGACAGAAGAAAATGTCAGCCTGAAAAAAACCCTTGAACAGAAGAATTTTGAAATTGCAGATTATAAAAATCGATTATGGAACGTCCAAAATGCTTTATTTCCGCCAATCCAAGAGAATTATGGGTCATCGATTGAGGCCACAAATCTGGACCTTCATAACTTCGAATAAATCCATTTTCACGATTGCGATGTAGTAAGTAATTTACACATTCCGCCTTAGTATTTAATATTTTATATCTCAATTCATTACAGCAAGTCACGTAATTTTCATGTACCCAAATGCATAAATCTCACAATGCCCATTTCCGGCGATACGAGCCCTCAATATCAATTCTTCCTATTTATTTCGCAAATGCGAAAAAATACATGCGAAATGAAGTGACTTTCTGTAATGAACGAAGTGTATTTAGAATCTAATACTGTATATCTACGTAAAAATTGTATTCAAAAAACGTTTCCTGGAGACGAACAAAATTTCCGAAATAACTTATTATAAAACTTGCCATAATTTTATTCCCGAAATGAAATTAGTCACTCAAATCATAATCAACTGGTCAAGATGTTGTTCAAAAAGTAACAAAACCTTTGACGAAATTATTTATTTATGTAAGCTGGTCTTTTAAGTTAGACTATTCAACTACATAATTTAATAGATCAAGATCAAGGATTGAGACACATTTAAGATACATTTTGTTCAGAATTTATGACCCTTTCGAAACCTTATACACATTACCATAAGTTTAAAAACCATACAGTAAAATTAAGTATGCAAATTATTTTATAGTGTATGCTGTATGTTGTAGTTAATTAATTAATTTAGTGTCAATGTGACGCACCTACTCTTAAACTGAAATAGTGAGTCACCATTTCAAAATCACGCGTTCGCGAAATAACCACGTCGAAAGCCTGTATCGTCGAAAATGTGCATTGTGAGATTTATGAAAATGACTCACCATATTAGACGGAGAGTAGGTCGTACAAATTTACATGTGTTGTTCTATCCGAATAAAGAAACTTTAAATAATTTATAATTAATCGTCCCCAATTCCATTCCGTATGTACATATGTATGCGTGTGAGTATGTGTTAATAAAATAAATAAACAAATAAAGAATGAACTCACGTCGACGTTTGTAACCTACGCACACCTCTGCATAAATATTTAAGCAGATTTTAAATTTTGTATGTAGATAGATGTATAAACTTATTGCAGTTATGTAGTTACAAACCTGACGTTAATTTCATTAATAATTTTGCGCATGGAATCTGCATTTAGTATTTTGTACTAACAAAATCTACATAGTTTTGGGTATGAGGCCATTAATTAATTATGTATGCAAGGCAGAAATCTGAATTTTCTACACCATTCAACATAAATATGGCACAAAGGGACGATATCATTTAACTGTACTGTCCTCGTACGCGGCTCTGTCACCTCATTTCCATATTTTAACTCATTCGTGAGAGTCATAGAGTTTACTCAACGTGGAAAGCTCGTATCGGGCTCATTCCATTTGTAAGCAACACGTTTGATTGAGTCCCAGAAAATAGAGGTGCTAAACCCTGCTCGCTGGTGGTGGCTGCCTGACCATGTATTTTCTTCTCTTTGATATGAGAACACCACACAACTTATGCTTTGTCAATGTTCCCGGCCACGTAGGAACACAGAATTATTTACTTACTCCTGTCTACACAAGCAGCCCATGTTAATTTTACCTTTTCGAAAAATCGCCAAAACTCCAAGACGGACAAAAATCGCGCGGGGTTATAAACTTTTTTGTTTCCTCAGGCCCAAAGGCATCGATTGGCTTATCTCCCTATAAGCGATTTTTGTCCGTCTTCTCGATAATCGAGTTTTTCAATACATTTCAAATTTCTGATGTTTCCGAATTTTTTAAAATTTTTCCTATCAATAAATGATCAATGAATGAAATCCGTAAATGTAACCTACCCCTTCGAACCTACACTTTGGCGACGAAAGCATTTTCAATGAATTTGCACATTTTCTTCTACCTGCTGTATCTTTGCGGAAAAAATTAATTTTTAAATTTTGATTTTTATGATATGTTTTGTTTTATATTATGCATCTATGATAAGATTGTGGACAAGATATCAAATATGGGTGCGACGACGATCGTGTGGGTACAGATGGAATGAGCGATCGCCGAAAATGGGCTATTGAGATTTATGCAAATGAGGTGACACGCCTAAATGCGAGGATAATATGCAAACCGCCTTTCGGATTTCGTTATTTATGAACGGCCCATACTCCACCAGCATCAATTTTTCCATCTATTTCAAACTGCATAAATATTTTGCTCAACCTATCTGCCAAGCAATATTAAGGGTTTGACGTTATCTTGTTTGTCTGGCTTATCCAGGTGTGGGACCGTGCATGCAAAATGTGATCGATTTTCTAAAACATGCCTTTGGAATTATTTAGAAATGTGTATTTAAATGATTATTAATCCTCACAAAATCGCCACATCCGTTCCGCACAGCCCTCGTGCATCCATTCATCCACCCAATATCGTAATATTATCCTGCATCACATTGCTTACTTATAAATTTTAGTGTGAAACGTTTTTCAAATATTTATGTATGTATGAGTGAAACGTTTCTCTAGAAATTAAAGATTGTGCTGCACTCTTATAAAACTTGTACCGTATTAACTGACCGGAGTAGATATGTAAATACAAAAACGAGTCACCGGCACTTGTAATAACGAACATTCAAGCTTAGTAACGTTGTGGTAATGAAAAATTTACCACTCATAAGCAAACTACTACAATTGGGTAGAAAGTTGGTACCAAATCAATACAGTACGGAGCATACATATATCTGACTGTCGGATTTTTAAGAGTGTGCACATGTTTGCCAAGTCTAATTCATAATTAACTTCATTCTCCTGGGTGGATGATACCTTTGCAAAAAAATTGCCAATAAACATGGCAACTCTGTTTAGGCATCGTTTAATTTTAATTTTGCACTCTATGCACAATTTTTCGACAGTCCTAAATTAAAATTGCATGGAGTAAGAACTTGCAATTTATTCGTCGTGGACGGATTAATCCAGCATCTGGGAAAAAGGTATGAAAATAATTAAAAATTAATTAGTGAGTATGCTACATTAAATAAAATAATTATACACTACACATCTGCACAATTTACATACATACATATGTGCCTACACTCTAAATCTTCACCCGCTCTATTTATTTGTAAATAGTGATTAAGGTGACGTTTCGTCAAAAATATGTCAAAATTGAAGTATATACAGAACATACGTTATATATGTCGGTATTTTTGAAAATTTCACATTTTTATTATACAAATCTAAATTTTTCCAAAATATCGAATTTTAAGAACTAGATCATGTCTAATGATGCACATGAATTTTTTACTCACACCTTTGGTAACAAAACGTTTCCTTAATCACCACTAAAAAAAGTGACCACTACATATTTATGTACAGGGTGGTTTAAATGTCAGATTACGATGGACAATTTTTCAATGTTAAAAATTCGCAAATCTCCATCAGTTACCGAAATTTTGTCTCTGAAATTCAATATTGTAAGAATTTTGTCCTCAGTGTTTCACAAGTTTTGATAAAAAGTAATAAAAATCTCAATCCCAAATCCGTAACTAATGGAAATTTACAAATTTTTCGCATTGAAAAATTTTCCATTGTAACCTGACACTTAAACCACCCTGTACAAATATGGGTGACGCTTTTTCTCTAAAGTTATTTAGAGTGCGCATGAACATTTCCTACAGAATAATGAATCGATTTGAACACGTCAATCTGCCAGAGATTGGGAACGACGATGAAGGGATTTACCTCCTTCTTCCAACTTCCGTTGTCGTGACACCAATCGAGCTTCAAGATGTTCAAGGGGGGTCATGTCCCTTACCCCCGTTGGGAAGCAGTTCGACTGATTTCCTTCCGTTGGGGGACACCACTATCGCTGCTACTAGTCTTCAAGAGGTTAATTTCAATTCACCACAAATCGAAACACCATCACATGCCCACCAGGTTGATAAGAACTTATCCCCTCCACCGAATCCACCACCACCCAAAAGGAAGCGGGGCCGCCCACGTAAAGTTAGAAAACCTGCCCCACAAACTACTCCACGCGTGAAGAAATACGACCTCGAGCCGACCACGAAACGCATCCGGAACGCGGTAGCAGCCCGACGAAACAGAATTCTGGCCAAGGAACGCGAACAAAAATTGAAGAATGATCTAGCCCTTAAGGACGATATAATTTTGCGACAAAGTGAAACCATTGAGCGACTAAATTTCCAAATTTCCGAGTATAAAAGAAGACTTGAAATAATCCGAAGCGCAGCCTCCGAACAAGTAGATATATTAATTGATGACACAAATGCTGACGTTGAAGGAAAGGGTGTTGATTTAATTCGACCCGATGAATTTTTAGGAACCTGACGGAAATTTATGAAAATTGTTACCAAATAAAAAGAAAAGGGTTATCATAATAACCTTTTTCTTTTGATTTAGTTACAATTTTCGTAAATTATACATAATGCTTAGCGTAAACCGTCGAAACACTAATTAGCAAAGTATTTTTGATATACAAATTTATTTCGAAATTTTGATCATTATTAAACTACAAGTTTCAAATATTGTCATGACGGACGGCGGCTGACGCGCGGTCCCACCGGCGGGACCATTGGACACAAAACCCGCACACAAACAATATACACGATTACATTACGTCTTTTCTCGTTCTTTTTCGCTTTCTCTTAATATCACTTATGATTTTGTCATGCAATTACTATTACTTTCATTTATTTTAAAAATCTATCTGCTAAATTTTATTTATATTTTCTTTTTAAGGAAAAACGCGAATCACAAATATTGTACAATATTTTATGAACATGTAGCCTTATGGGCCTATAGCCCCAAAGAAGGAAGCCAATAAAATTCAATTCAAGTTTTCAAATATTGCCAGAAACCATCGGGACGTATTAAATCAACACGCTTTAATAATTTCCAATAAAAGTCCATCATAATGTTCATAATAATTTTATTTTCAAATAATTGTTTCCATCCAATGTACGCATGCGTACTTATTTATTCAACTTTATTTAACTTCCTCGCCACATGAGAGGCCATCGAGAGCATAAAGATCCACACGATCGGGGCGAGCAGTGCGGCGCGAACGACGCCGTGTTCCAAACCCCACCCATTATTCTACACGCGTCGCATACCCTCCATCGGCAGAGCGAGGGGGTCAGATACACGCATACCCAGCGATAGTACGGGCTTATCGTTTCCAGAGGCCACGGCATTCCTATAGATATATCCAGAAACCTTAATTACTTATTTATAGCCGTATTTTAGCCGGACCTAGGCACCAAAATTAAACATGTTAGCCGGCTACTATTTTTTTGGCGGGCAGGACACTCAATGGTAAAATGATGATTTTAATAGATGAGCCATAGTGGTAAAATTTGCCGTAGGTAATAGCGGGTAGCGTTACCCTGTATACTGGGTACCCGTTTCCCAGCGGGTAGGGGTAATTAAGTTATTATTTAATTTTCGCAATAAATAAGATAACCAGCAAACCTAGCAGCCTGTCAGGCCGTTAAAAGACAAAGGTATCAATTTATTATTCATTTACCACATTAAAATTTGGCCAACAAGAAACGTTTATACGTACCTAGAATTTGTTCTAAGAAGTCAAAGGTATATACCTTCAGAGCAAAACTATTTTTCTGAAAACGTCAAGAAGTTATTGTATTGACGAGGTTTTTTTTAAAATGAAAATGTACTTTAGTTAAAAATTTTTACAAATCCAACTGGTGCGCGGCTATGACTTCTAACGAAAATTCTGTCCGTGTCCTTGTTTGCTTTATTTAATTTATAATTTAGACTGCACTGACTTATCAAAAGTGTAGCACAAGTTTTAAGACTGGACAACTCTCTTCAGACATGAGCACCCTAACTTTTACCCTGACTTGAGGAATGATAAATCTTCTCAACAAATGCCACCACGATACAA